AAGTACAATGTCGTGTACAAGTAGCACTCTATTTTGTAGCCAAGGCCACATCAATTTAATTTGTTGGTTCTTGGAATTTTTTCAGAAAATATATGAAGCGACAGGGCAAAAAAAATAAAAACAGGTCTAGGCAGCCAAGTATAGCCCTAAATGCTACGATAGGAGCCATGGAGTCAACACAAAAGGCTGGGTTAATATTTAAACAATGAATTTTGAATTTTTAGTCAATCTACTGCATTGATAGATGGAAAAACTGTAAGAACTAGAAAGAAAAGGACTTTCCTCAACTGATGGGGGCAAAATATGAGCATTTTTGAATAGATCCAGAGCTAGAACCTTTTTTTTGCAAATCAGAAAAAAATGAAGAGGTGAATCCGAGAACCAACAAATTAAATTGGTGTGGCCTAAGCAATGATGTACATTAACTTATGTATCAAAACTGCAACCAACAAGAGACTAAAGCTAACTTCAAACCCAAGCTCCAAATCAAGGAAACTGAAAAGCAAAGATCCTTCGACTTATCTGGATAGACACAATTTCTTGAATTATGTAATAAAGCTATGGTGTTTTTCACTGATTGTGTTCCACCTCGACATTTGTTGGTGACCATGCCAGTTTGTTGAACTCAGAGTGTTTGTTAGGCCAAAGGGCAGTTTATGTGCCTGTGTGTTAAGCCAAAGGGTGGTTATAAAGGCTATACCAATACAGATGGAGTCAGATAGTGAGTAGCTCAATCTACTTTTCACAAGTTACCAGATTTTGCAACATATGCCGACACCTACAGACACATTATGTACCCTGTGACAATTAAGCATCCAGCACTCCAAAACAACTATCATGGTGCTAGCCACTGCTTCACAACTGACGAACAAGTTGCCAAAAACTGCACCAAGTGACAGGGTTTAGATAGAAACACAACTAAAACTGAAACCATTTCAACTGAGGCAAATAAACTTGGCACAACATCGAAGCTTTTAAGGCCCCGCCTTGTTTAGGCGAGTACAATTAGGCCACAGCAAGTAACTGAACGTCATTGAACCGTCATGGATAGAGGTGAAAGAAGTGAAGAAGGCTAGAGCAGGATCAGCACCGGGACCAAGCGGTATCCCTTACAAAGTCTATAATACCACTTGTCCTCCGTAGGCTCTAAAAGCTGTTTAAAAAATCTGGGCGAAGGGAAGTATTCCGCTATGCTGGAAGGAAGCTGAAGGATGCTTTGTTCCAAAGGAAGAAAATGCATCGACGATCAGTCAATTCAGGACTATTTCCTTCTTGAGTGTGGAATGCAAGATCTTCTTTTCGGTGTTAGCAGGCAGAATAACAACATACATGACTGACTTACGTGAACACATCGATTCAGAAAGGAGGAATCCCTGGATTCTCTGGCTGTCTTGAACACACAGGAGTTCTAAGCCAGCTGATACGTGAAGCTAAAACTGGCAAAGGCGACCTCACAGTGGTCTGGTTGGACCTGGCAAATGCATACGGGTCCTGAACCCCCACGCTACCATCTGCGAAGCACTACCCCACTACCACATACCGGACAGTATAAGAGGCTTAATCACCAGCTACTTCGGAGGGATTCGGCTCCGATTCAAGACAAGCAACTTTACTACAGAATGGCAAGCCCTGGAAAAGGGGATTGTCACTGGCTGTACGATATCCCCAATTCTGTTCATAATGGCGATGAAAACTGCAAGAAGGGGTGGAACACTTGGCTCTACCCCGTCGAGATCGGATGTAGGGGGTTTCCCGCTGCATCAGCCCGGAGAGTACTGAAAGCTCTGGGTTTGACAGGAAGAGAGAGGAAGGAAGCGATAAGAAGACTAGGAGAAGCAGCAGAGAAGGCTTCATGCTGGCTGTGGCTCAAAAGAGACGCGAAGATCTGGAGTCTAGAGGGGGGAGGATGGACAGTGACCGGCCACCACTGTCGACCGGCCAGCAGGAGGGCGTAGCGGGATAGGGTCAAAATGCCCGATGAATACTGGTCACCCGCCTGACCACATCAAACCCTTCTGAATCAACATCACCCGCCACAAAGGTGGGGATGTTTTACAGCATCTTGTTGTTATTCAAAGAACTGGAAAGAAAAAGAAGAAATTTTGTTGCCCACTGACAGTGGTCAACATGCCAAAAATGGGCAAATATGTCTGTTGCCATGCTGGAAGGTGGATGGCAGATAAATATGAAGAGAGGAGACAAGAAAAGGCTCTGATTTAATGTTTTGTTTCTTACTTTGATGCAGTGATATGTGATACTGGCTGTGTATATGTGATGTTCCCACTAAATAAAAACCATTTGTACAATGATTGAGACAAAATTTTAAAATGTAGGGACCTTGTTTTTTTTTGCCCGCTCGCATTAGATTTGGAGTCTGCGGAGGATGTCATCCATAAAATTTACTTGCTGTGGCCTTACATATATGACGCGGATTCAATTATCCACACGTGCACATTCCAATGGGCGTTTTTCAACCACGTGGAGACAAACAAAAGAACAAGGCATTCTTTCTTTACGATACAAACTCAAAACGCTGTATAGTCGATAAATATGACATACGCATACATTTAATAAGTCAACACCACACATGTAAAATGGTATTATAAAGAAAACGGGGCAAAAATGACCGACTTACAAAAGCCCCGCTTACATCAGGAATAGTCTCTCAGAACTTCAAGAATTACGCGCTATTCCTTGAACAATATAACTTAACATGTTCTTACTAGTAGCTAGTGAATGATGTCAGCCAAATAATTAGTTGGTTTACCTGTAAAGACAAGGGAAGTCGTCTCCGAACCACGCCACTCCTCCCATGCCCAACTACACCTCGCCATTTTGTTTTCTTCTCCAAAATTGACCACGCCAGAAAATCCGCATTTTCTCCTCAAAACGTCACGAGAACGGCATATATCCACCACGAAAACTTCCCAACGTTTTGCTGCATACTTTAGAAGACATTCTACCGACAAAAAACTGGAAAAAGTACTCGGAAAGTAACAAAAAAGTATTACAGAGCATGCCCGTCGCTTGCAGGAACGGCCATCTTGAATGGACTAAACCAAACGAGTTTTACACAGGTGTTCAAAACAGCCCTCTCTAATTAACATGGAGTTGATCGAATTACGAAGACCAACTTCAGTTTAAGAAAAGGGCTTCATTTTAAGTAAGGGCTTAGAAACCCACTATTTCTGTTACCGACATTACTTACAAATAAGCTTCTGTATGATCACAGACTGAAATTAACGAAGAGGTTTGTCCCATTTTTGTGTTAACCTCTTTCGTTTGGACGGTACCACGGCAGCAGAGGGAGGGAAGGTTTTGAGGTGTTCCAAGCTCTTGGTTAAAAATATGTTTCCTTGGTTCTGAAAATCATCTAAACACAGGCAACATATATATATATAACGTTAGCTGTCTTTAGTGTCGAACATCCAAACACAAATACCCACCTAGCCTGTCCTTGGTGCTGAACGCCATCCACACACAGGAAAACACACCTAGCCTGTCCTTGGTGCTGAACGCCATCCACACACAGGAAAGCACACCTAGCCTGTCCTTAGTGCTGAACGCCATCCACACACAGGAAAGCACACCTAGCCTGTCCTTGGTGCTGAACACCATCCACACACAGGAAAACACACCTAGCCTGTCCTTGGTGCTGAACGCCATCCACACACAGGAAAGCACATTTAGTACTTGGTGCTGAACACCATCCACACACAGGAAAACACACCTACCTTGTCCTTGGTGCTGAACACCATCCACACACAGGAAAACACACCTAGCCTGTCCTTGGTGCTGAACGCCATCCACACACAGGAAAGCACATTTAGTACTTGGTGCTGAACGCCATCCACACACAGGAAAACACACCTAACCTGTCCTATACCTATTTTAACTATTCCTCTTAACACATGGTAGCTCGTGTATCTAATATAATAGTATGAAAACTATTAACCAGGATACAATGTAAGTCTTAGCCTAAGTAAGGAAGAAAGCAGCACATCATTTTTCAAAGCTATACATTTTAATTCTCTCTGTAAGTGTATCTAATGTAAAATTCTGTATGATCGATAGACTGACATTGTTATGCAACACTTTGAACAACAATGTTGAAACATAATCTATACAAATTGTATCACAAATACAATGTAGATGACTGAAAATTATGAAACATAATGGATAAATATGTTATAGGTTTACCTATGGCGCAATATTGGTATTCAACTTGCCAGTAACATACATGTATTGCAAATACTAGGTAATGAACACACTATCTGTTCCAAGGCTATTGAAAAATCTCCAACATGTCATAAAGTTGGAAGACAAGCATACATGTTACAACTGTATAATTATGAAGGATTGGGAAGTTCAGGATTTATGCCTTTTTCTGATTTGATGTGACAAAATGCATACTGTAAGAACTTTCAATTGGTAGAAAAATGCATAGGGCTACATTGTGCAACCCATGCAATATTTCTTAATGATACACAGATAGCGTTGTACCTTACAACTAATATGGTTCAACTTTAGTTACTGTAATCTACATGTAAAATACATTTTACATCATACTAGAGAAATGAAATGGAAGGATGGCTACTACTAGAAATAATAGTAAAAAAGTGAACGTTAAGGGAAACATGTAAATGTACCAGTATTTGACAAGTATGAAGCTGAAATACAAAATCTGATTTGAAAAATATCATAAAGCTATACCGTGGTGAAAAGCTGGAACTTGGGAATTGCACAGAATTCTGTATTCAAGGAATATCTGTATTATTATGATTTTGTATGAAATTTGTGTCTACAAACAAGATGCAGGCCAGAAAACAATAGAATAAATTGTTGATCTTCTACCAAGACACAAATCCTGTAAAAATTTACATTTATTATTATCAACTCAATGTTTAATAAATATACATGTGTATTTTCCCACCTACATGTAGTTATTTTCTTTGAAGCATGGAAAGATGTGCAAGATTTGAGATGAAAATTTTTTACAAAAATTGATAGGGAAGCTTTTAGTAGGGAATGTATTAAATGAGTGAAGGTGGACTAAGGTTTAATATAGGGCAAATTTTTGTCTCTTCAAAATTGTTTGTTGTAACTTCCAGATTAAATATTCAAAGAGGTACATTCAGTTTAGTAAATCTCTATTCGGTTAGAAACTGGATGGTGACAATGGGTGATAATATTTGTGTGGCCTCGGAGTGACCCCAAACGTCTGCTTGGATGAGGTAACATCATGTCCGAACTTGGAAGTTGCCAGCTTTGGTCAAGTACTTCACTCCCTTGAACGGCTTGTATTTCTGAAATTCAAGAAAAAAAAGGAATGGAAAATGGTTAAAAATTTTGCTACAGAAATACCTGGTAGGTACAAATAAGGCCACACCAATTTGATTTGTTGGTTCTCAGATTTTTGTAGGAAAACCATGAAATGGTAAAAAAAGGACAAAAAAACAGGCCTAGGCATCCTATGATAGCCCAAAATGCTACCATAAGAGCCACAATGTTAACACACATGTACTTGAGTGGTTTATAATTTAAAAAAAAATCTAAACTTTTATTCAAATCACTGCATTGACAAAGAAAAGACTGTACCAACTAGAAAGACTTTCTCCAACCGGTGGTGCCAAATTGTGAGCGTTTTAGGCTTGATTCAGAAAGTCAATGAACATGTTACTTTCTGGATCAGAAAAAAATGAAGCGGGTGATCCAAAAACCAAGAAATCAAATTGGTATGGCCTAACAGTCACACAGAAAGCAAGGTTTGAAATGGGCTACTGTTGAAGATACTACAAAATGTTAGAGAGAGAGCTTTTATTTTGGCTAGTGCTGCATACCGGTTCACTGGACTTGTAAGAATGTTTAGGTTCAAGTCCAAAAAAGTCAAGAACTGAGTCCGGACTTATTACCATAAAAGGTAATAACTTCACATACCCCTTTTCTTTCCAAACCACCTAAAACCTTCCGTACATTGCAAAAACTTTGCTGCAAAATGAAGAAAACATTGCCATCGGGCATCGTCAAGTGTCGGCCTCCATGTTATGTGGCAAAGTTTCACCCAGACAACATTGCAAGGTTGCCCACATGCAATTTTGTATATGCCATGGGTTTAGGTACGGACTTACAAGTCCGGAACTGAACCTAAACCTCTGGACTTGAATCCGGACCTGAACCTAAATGTGAGTTTAGGTATGCAGCACTAATTTTGGCTGTGATGATGTCATCCTACATGACTACAGGACACACAGGAGAAAAGAAGTCATGTGGTAGGGCAAGAGGTGTCAATCAAAGTTTCACCATCCAATCAAAACGCTCAACAGATAAATAGTGTTATATGGTGGGAAGAATTCAAATGAAAGACAGGTGGCAGTTAGGAAGAGGCAGTGTTGGGAAGAATTCAACTCAAATACCCTTTCTGAACAAAAAGTAGCCAGAGCATTATGCTGAAGGGCGGTTATAATTTAGACACAGAATGATACAGAAGTACAAGAACATGCCATTTCAGAATGAATGAAGGAACAAAAAAAATGTGTCAGTTAGCTGTTACAAAATTAATAAATAGATATGCGCATATCTGATCAGCTATACAAGCGATCCCAGCGATCTCCCTCTGAAGGCCGGAGGGAGATCCGATCCGCAGGGTGGCTGGGACCGAGGGCGATGTGGAATAAACAGTGTTGTATTTTATTTATGTCATACCCACCCAAAAAAACACGCCTTTCAATGCGAAATGAGCGAAAATTTGGTGTCCCTAAACCCAAAAAATGCAACAACATCGATTCCAACGTCCAAATTCTGTATTCAAATTTTTGAAAGCGGTGCACGTGGTTAGGGCGAAATGCGTTTGAATCGTTCTGTGGAACATTTGGAAGCCCGGGCCGTACGCGTTAAGAACTCCCGGGCCATACCGCTAGTTATCACACGGGCCGGAACATCCGTATCAACGTAATCGCGGCCCAGGTATGACATAATGTAAATTACAGGACAGTTGAGAGAGCCCTATTCAATGTTATATGAATATGGTATGACACAAATACAGCTATCTGGAATGGGAAAGTTAACATGACTACTATTCATTAGTATGGCTAAAATGGGGAACAGTGGTAGTGGCTAGAAAGGAGTTAGTACATTGTAAGTTTTCTGCGTTGTACATGTACAAATGTACATTGTAGCTCTGTTTATCACTAAATAGTAACGTTACATGCAATATATAACCATAAGAATAGTTCACAGTACAATGTAATTGCATGCACTTGCAATAAGAAAGGGTATTTGAAGTTGCTGTCCCAAAACCACAAGTGTTTTGGGCGTCCCAGTCCTGATTTTTGGTTAAACCAGTTTGGGGAGAACCGGTTTCAGTTCAGTTCAATCCGGTTCGATCCAGTTTGACTCAGACCACATGTGTGAGTGACACACTAAGAGAGAGATCCTTTACTCAAGGCCAAAGAGTGCATGACAAACCTCAAAACTGAAGCTTTTCTTTGGGGAGCTCTGAAATATGAGGGGAAAGGCACAGTTTCATCCATTGTCCGTCAACCAAACTCTCTTCTAAAACTAAAATCTTACGTCAACAAAATTTGTGTCATGCTAAGTTCTTGTCATGCAAAGTTCCTGTTTCGTCACGTGCAATGAAAAATCTACTGGAACAGTTAAATCAAAAGTACAAGATGTGATGTCTACCATGCTAAACTAGAGTTGATTGTAAAATTTTTGGTCAGTGACTTTAAAACAAATGGAGAAATATAATGGGGTTGGGTGAGGTACAAATGTATGTGTGTGAGTACTAGAAAAAATGTTGTGTTCCCAGTTTTCCTAGCAAAAATCCACTGACCCTAGCCTTTTTTTTTGGGGTTGACTACTGGCAAGGTACATATAAAATTTTGGCTTGATGTCTGTTTGTTTGTTTGTTTGTTAGTAAACAAGGTAAATTATTTGTTCCCACAAGCAAACAGTGAAAGGGTCCTAGAAACAGCCCTGATTATGATGCATTTTAGTTTTACATTTCGGGCCTCAAAATTAACTTTTTTTTCTTATTGTCCCAGCACTGTCCCAAATAGTTTCAATTGTCCCGAAGTGAGGTTGAACTGTCTAAACCTCTTTTTTCGGGAGTATGTATGACAACAATTTGAAGTCGACTTTATGTTGCTTACGTTCTGACTCCGAGGCAGGCTATAATCGCAGAGTAGACAAGAAATTTTGGGGGCTTTTCTGAGCCAAAAGCCGGGACGTGTGCCTGATCGACAAAAGTAGGGCTGACATTCTGATGTTGATTATTTTTCTATTGTCCCCAAAATGTCCCAAGGTGTCTTTTTAGTTATCCCAGCCTAAATTTTAGCTGTCAGTGGCCATCGGGACACTGGTAATTGAATATTTCGAGCCCTGCATTTTTTAATTGTTTTTGTAGGATCAGTTCAAGAAAATAAGGACAAAGAAACATGTAAACAATTCCTACCTACCGAACCTGATTTTTTCAGGATTGTTACCGGAAACACAACATAGTTTTTCCTAGGCCTTAGGACATCTACAGGACTTTGTCCATTTATGTAATATTGTGTGCATGTATGATGTCCAGTGTACATGTATGTAAAGTGTATGATGTCCATCCTTACTGACCTCTCCATACATGTCCAGTCTGTTCACCTTTAACCCTGACACAGCCATCTGTTGGATCTTGAACTGGACCTGTGGAAAAAGAAAGAATGGCAAACTTCGTATCAGACTATAAGATTATTTGTTTGAGAACAGGCCAAAATCAATGTGTGCAGATGTCATCCATAGAATTAAATTAGTGTAATAATAAATGGTTTTTATTGTCCAAACAGCACCCGTGCAGTCACAGCCTTTAACGGCTGAATTGATGCAGGGTATCACATAATAATCAATACAAATCACAACAATCAAATAATACAAATGATAACACATATTTGCTCCACAGATTTTTTGTGGAACTGCCGCAAGGGTCTGTGCGGCTGCCATTTGGCACCACAAGGTGACCTCAATACGACTTTGCCCAACCAAAGTTAGGTACCCATTCACCTGGGTGGAGTGAGGAAATTCGTGTAAAGTGCCTTTCCCAAGGGCACAACGTCGGGGCGCATGTCCAGACATGTCCCGGGTACAACTGAGGATCGAACCCAGGTCTCCCCGCTTCATAGTTGAACGCTCTACCACTACGTACGCCACCCGATGCCACCAATATTATGTGTGCAGATGTCATCCATAAAATTAAATCAGTGTGGCCTTACAAAAATCCATATTACTCACAGAAATAGCAGGGTTGGACTCTGGCGGGGGAGACCCACTCTGTAGACTGATGTTCCCCCTGAGGTTGGGCAGCTTCTGGGGGTTGATCTTCCCCACGTCCCAGGTCAGCACCTTGGCAACCGGGTCAAACGTGTAGGTGCCCTGGGTCGGGGTCAGGTTCATGTTCAACACCACCTTAGGCATGGCACAGGTGATCACCACCGACTCCACCTGCAAAATAAACAACAACAACAAATCGGAGATTTCAAACTTTCAGAAAGTGTTTGGGTATTTGTGAATGTATTGGAACTGAATGGCTTGTATGATTACTACTAATACTTACTTGGCACATACTACTGTCACCCAGGGCATACTGGGTCACAACCCTGTCAATCAACTGAAACCTAGTCTCTGCCCACTCACTTCCAATTCTTCCTGCTGAGGATGAGATACAAACTCCCCGCTAATAAGGCCACACCAATCTAATTTCTTAGTTAACGGATATTTCTAGAAAAATAGCGGGCGGGTGAAAAAATAATAAAAACAGGCCTAGGCATCCTATTATGTCCCAAAATGGTACGATAGGAGCCATGAAGTCAACACACCAGGCTGGTTCAAAATTTAAACAAAGAATTTTGAACTTTTAATGACACCATTGCATTGAAGGATGGAATAACTGTAACAACTAGGAAGAAAAGGATTGTTTTGAACTGTACAGGGCAAAATATGAGCATTTTGCAGTTGATTCTGAATTTCTTTTTTTTTGCAAATCAGAAAAAAAAAGAAGCTGGCAAATCCGTTAACCAAGAAATCAAATTGGTGTGGCCCAAGCCAGTGATTATAAAGTACATGTAAAGTACTTTATTATTTAAACATTTACTGTAATGGTAATATCAGTGACGTTGAAGCTACCTTTTTTGGGTCTGTATTGTTAATATTTCAATAAGGAATTAAGAATTGAAGGTGCTACCTACCAGTTTGCCCATGGTCTGTTTAGGTCCCACGGTGACGTCAAACCGCCCCCCTCCCTCTCTGAAGGAGATGTTAGGTTTCACGTACACAGGGATGGCCACCATACTGTGGGGAGAAAACAGGTATTACTAAGTTCTAGGCTCTATTCTAAGACCCCACAAGAAAGCAGAGATTTCAGACTTCTGGAGTGTTTGGAGTTTTTGTGAATGTATTGGAACTGTATTGTATGATCAAGGGGAAATACCAAATTGAATCACCTGTGAATCACATCATAGAATGGAATACTACTCACATGATTGTATGACTTAACTCCAATATTACAGTTTATGTTTCATACCATGCACAATACACATTCTTAGTGACCTCATACCACATCTTACCACCCAGGACTACAACCCTGTCAATCAACCAAAACTCAGTCTTTGCCCGCTCACTTTAAATGCTTGCTGCTGAGGTAAAATTGGAAACAAAAGAAAAACAATACTTTTGAGACATCAATGCCTACCATGCTGAGAAAAGAGAAGACAAGACTTACTTCTGAGACCCCACATGGTAGGAGATGAGTCTGAAGTTGCCGTCTGGAGGAACGAAGGACAAAACTCTTTCTGACTGTAAGAGAAATAAGAACATTGCATGATCATTTTATAGTATAGAAATACATGTACCTGGTGATCTTTTAAAGTGGATCCACCTCTGAGGTGCCAAATACAACTTTTACCAAGTTAAACCTTCTTATGCAGTGTAGAAAATACTTTTTTGAACCAGGTTGCCTAGTGGGCAACCTATGGCAAAAATTAGGTTGCCCATCAGAATTTCAGGTTGTCCCACCTATAAGTTACTACTTTCCTCAAATTAAGTAATGTTACATACATAAGCCTTTGACAATATTTCTAACAGCCTTTAGTTAACTGATACAGTACTAGTAATAGCCATCAATACCTAAAATTAAAAAGCATCTGCAGGCTACAGTGGTGCAAGCCAAGTGGGCATGATTTTTTTTGGGGGGGGGGGGTCATTCTTAAAATTCAGGTAGCACACTGGGCTACCTAGGTTCAAGAATAGGTTGCCCCAAGTAAAATTTGGTAAACCAGGTATTTTGCACACTGATCTTAGCAGGCTGAAATTTAAAAATGACATTATGAAATGAGTTTTTAAAAAACACACACACTGAACACAAAAACAAACAAACAAACAAACAGTTTACCTCCCATCTCTTGAAGCGTACACAGGGGTGGAAACTGACGTCGTCCAGGATACGAGGGTTCATGAAGGACAGGGTGAGGTCTGGCATCCCCGACAACTTCACACAGCAGTCAATCTACAACAACAGTACAACCTTAGCACAACCGTAGTCAATCTACATGTACAATAACAATACAATCTTACTAGCCACACAAAAGAGCTTCAGAAATCTTTCAGGACTTTGGTTAATTGGTTGTCCTAGACATGCAGGGCTCAAAATATGCACCTTAGTGCACCCACATATTTGGAGCTGTGCACCCAATTTTTTCGTAGGTTTAATGTACAAGATGTTCAATGTATTTTTATTCTTTATTTTAATTCAATTGTAGCAAGACAATACGTTGGCCACCCAGGCAGCATGGCTGATTTCGGGTGCCAAACAAAATTATGTTTAATGTATAATAGTATACAGCATATTCTTAACAGCCAAGTGTCAGAAAAATAATAAAAATTATAGTCTCTTCTTTAGAAATGAAACATTATTAGTTTTTACTGACATTCTACTTACTTTATCTTATATGCCGCACCCAATTTTTTAGGTTGGATGCACCAGTGTACCTACATGTATTCCCAAAAATGAATTTCGAGCCCTGACTTCCAAGCAGTTTAGAATTTTTCCAGTAAATTTCAATATGTTCATTCAAGGAAGGGGGGAGGGTGTACATGCACTGTTTTGGACATGGGAACAAAAAATATTGAAGTATTTTTTCCTTGACAATTAGAGGTAAGTTAACATATTTTGTGGCACTGATAATATTTCAAAAGACAAGCAAGCCTTACAGAGCCATGAATCGAACGAGAAAGTTTGGAGCAATAAAAAACACACAAACATGTGAACATGTATACCAACTTACCACTCCCTGTATATCAGCAAATACTGTGGAGCCCTGGAGTAATATACAAAAAAAAATATTGTCTTAATCATGTGAATGAGACATTTGATAATTCATATTGGAAGACTAGAAAGGTAACATTTGCAAAGCAAATACATAATGTTTACCTTCCCATATGGCCTGCTCTGTTAATTCTTACTCAAACACATTCACATATATGGTGACAGGAGTCTAAATCCCTCCTGCTATAATTTATAGTATAAAATTGCAACCCAACACTAGTTACCATGGTGACAGACGTCTGGTTCAGGTCATTAACCTTATTTGTTTGGAGAAGAAGAAGAAGAGGAAACAGAGCAAAAACAAGATGTTTTCCTTCAGTAAATATAAAAATAATATATTATAATATATGCAAAGTTCAAATGCATTTAAAAGAGTTTCCAACAACATTTTGTTTGAATTTGTTGGAAAAGAAGTTGTAATTTGTGTGAAATTGTTGAACCTGTTTGTCGATGATGGCGTCTATTTCTTCGATGACGTCGAAGTAGGCCTCGTTGTTGGTGTACTTGACCCCTGCCCTCCTCCAGGGGACGTTAGACAGCTGACCGGTGGGGAGGGTGTCTGCTAGGCTGGGGGGGGGGGGGTGCATAATAAATGGTTTATTGGTCAAACATTACCTGTGCAATCACAGCCTTTTATAGCGCTGAATTGATACAGGGTTTACAATCACATAATACACATGATACATATAACATATTTGCTCCACACATTTTTGTGGAACTGTCACAAGGGTCTGTGCGGCTGCCATTCGGCGCCACAAGGTGACCTCAATATGACTTTCCCCAACCGAAGTTACGTACCCATTCACACCTGGGTGGAGTGAGGAAAATTGTGTTAAGTGCTTTTCCCAAGGGCACAACGTCGGGGCGCATGTCCAGACATGTCCCGGGTACAACTCAGAATCTAACCCGGGTCTCCCGGTTCATAGTCGAACGCTCTACCACTATGCCACCCGACGCCACCAAATTAACCTGATTAAAAACTTTATGAAATAAAGACTGAACTGTAACTTCCAACACTAGGTATAGAATTGGGACTTACCCCAAATTTTCGGTTGACTCCATCAACCTTGTTCACGGAATGGACCCGTCTACTCTTGGAACGTGGCGTCAGAGACACGTGACTGTAGTAGCGGGTCATACGTGCCAGATAACTTGTGTCGCCCCCCGTCTCTGTTCAGGGTAGGTCTGTGAGCTCTTATGTAGACTGCCTCCTTAACTCCTCTTGCAAAGAAGTCCCGTGTCTCTGACGTCACGTTCCAAGAGTAGACGGGTCCATTCCGTGAACAAGGTTGATGGAGTCAACCGAAAATTTGGGGTAAGTCCCAATTCTATACCTAGTGCTGGAAGTTACAGTTCAGTCTTTATTTCATAATGATTTGTACCAACACAGATGAACTTTCATGCCTGATTAAAAACTGATTAGAAACTTGCACAACTTCAGTCAGTTTATTATACTACATGTATGCTAACCAACCGTGGCCTAAGCAGTAACCCTGATATTCTGTTTTACTTACTTGGAGCTGCCTGTGACGGTGTTGACGACTGTTCGGAGGATGTTGGGGGGTTTGATGAGTTCCTTCAGGATGTTAGACTCTGTGGCCAGGGGGAAACCATTGTCCAACATCTCCTCCAACAACTGTAGAACAAGAAAGGAATATTAATTTATGAAACTTGCTGAATATCTTGTACTCAAGTAGTAGTTATAGACACAAACTTAATTAGATATAGATTTGCTGTCTATAATTTTCTAGTTATAGTTGTAGACTAGAAACTGGGTAAACATGTATTTTAACCCAGAGTTTTAATGTCAATTTTTCTATTCTTACTTGCTAGAATCGACCAGAGGGTACATGTAATGTTTGCCCTTCATCTGCACAGGGTAGGACAAGTCCCATTGCCCACTTGCCCAGGGCAAGTAAAAGTACTGTTTGGGCAAGTGCATGTACCCTTAGAATTGGGCAAGTAAATGTTTTGGATCCAAAGTATAGCCGCTATGGTGTTTGGAGCAAGTCAAACCCATCTTATTTTGATTGATAATGCACCCCAATATTATAAACTCCAAAATAAGATAATTTCTTTGGTGGTAGTAAAAACGAATAGAAATATGTATATTTTGGGCAAGTGAAAAGTTGGTTCGGGCAAGTGGAAATGACTTGTACTGGCCCGATAGAGCAAGTGGATTTTTGAAAACTTGTCCAACCCTGCTGCAATGTAAAACTACAGGGCTTGCAGTTCAGAACCTATAGCTAAAATACTAGTACGAACAATATAGATTTTCTACAAACATAATATGTTTATGGATTTGTTAGGACTTCAGTAACAAGTATCGTGTTATATTTTGTCCAACTTCTTCTTTCATGGCCTCAATAAAAAACATCCAGCTAAAACAAACAAACAAACAAACAAATAAACAAGCATTGAAGCATTGTTCCTGACCTCGTAAACGATAACATAGTTGTCCTTTATTGCAGTCTCTCCTCCGTCTCCGAAGTAGTCTGTGAAGGTGTCGACCACTCTGTGTAGGAACTCTATCACAAACAGGGGAGGGACTGGGGAAACAACATGAAATGTAAGATTCCAACTGGAGAAATAACATTTGCAAAGCAAAATTGCATAATGTTTACCTTCGGACATGGTCTGCTCACTCAAACACATTTACATACATGTACTACTAGTATATGGTGACAGGAGCAGAGCAGACCATGAAATTGCAACATTATGTAACCCAACACCAGTCACCATAACAGACGTCAACAAATCATGTCATTGGTCAGGTCAGAGGTCACTGTTTGGGGAAGAAGAGGACGAAACAGACCAAAAACAATATGTTTTCCATCGGTAAACATAAACATCACAAAACCTCTTGGAAGTACATGCAAAATGCAGGAAATAGCGTTTCAGAGGGTCAAGGTTTCAAAATTTTTTCCAAGGGAGCTAGCATGCCCTTAAGGATTGTTATGTCTGGTGCAATATGCTGTGCCTTCAGTGCTTGACAATGATGTTATGTCAAACAAAATTGAGATGACAGAAAAAAATTCAGAACAATGTTTTATTCATTCTGTCTTGACTTAAGCTAGGAAACAACAATATATGTGTTTTATATAAATTATAAAATCATCTTTTTTATGTACAAGATAAATAACATAATATATGTTAAATCAAAAGCCTATAGCTATAGGACAACAACCCAGCATGGCGAAATTAAACTTGTTGTGACGCCTACTAGGACTGAGTGAGTGAGTGAGTCAGCTATAGGACAGCCCTTTATCTCATTATGAGTCTTGATATCATGGGAAATATTTGAGAAAGCTGTCCCTACACTCCCTACCTTCTGTTGTACAGACTGCTACAAAGTAGATGTTTTCTCTGTAGATGTGGATGAGATAGTGGTGGGGAGTGGAGATCACAGGGTTCACATCTTCTGGGCTATTGGCCTGTCAGAACAAACAACACATGAAAACTGGGGGTAAGAACAACTTAATGTACAATATTAAATGCATTGCACATTGTATAAATGTATTCTAGCATATATAATGTTACATGTAGTACAGGTGTACAATATTGATATCATGCACGATCAATGTATACTTGTATTATTTTATATTTATAAGTTGGACCTGTTGCTATTATAAAAACTCAATAGCACATTAGGCCACAGTAAGTAATTTTTATGGATGACATCAGCACACGCATTAATTTTCACCCGATTTTGGGAAAAAAAACAAGAAATTTTGTTGCCTTCTGACAGTGGTCAACATGCCGAAAATGGGCAAAGATGTCTGTTGCCATGCCTGAACGTGGATGGCAGATAACTATGAAGAGAAGAGACAAGAAAAGGCTCTAATTTAATGTTGTGCTTCTTACTTTGATGCAGTAATATGTGATGTTGGCTGTGTACATCAATATCATCATACTAATACTATTGTGATGTTCCCACTGAATCAAAAGTAAACATTTGTACAATGATTGAGTCAAAATTTTAAAATGTAGGAACCTTGTTTTTTTCGGCCCGCCTTTTTTTTGCCCTATCACATTAGATTTGGAGTCTGCGGAGGATGTCATTCATAAAATTTACTTGTTGTGGCCTAAGGGATAACTTGTGTGTACTATACATAAATTTGAGTTTCAGTATAATTTAAAACAAATTGTGCCTACACAGAATACATAGATAAAACAGAATAGAGACAACAACAACAACAGATAAAACTGGAATCAACAACAACAGATTTCAGAGATATCACCAGTAGGTTCTTATAAGGTACTAGGGAAGTTGACCCCCTGTTCAGTACATATTGATATTTGTCATATGACCAACTGATTACATTAGGTCCGGTTTCTATCTAACGTTAAATGTAGGACAAAAAAAACTTGGTACCTTTTGTTGCTCTTCAAAAAAGTAGTCACACACAGATCTGCTGATGACACTTTTCCAGTGCTTCTCCATAAAAATATCCCTGAACACAAAAAATAAAGTTGACAAGAAGAAATTTATGTTTTTACAGAGATACCAACGCCCCCCTCCCCATTCGAGTATCGCAAAAATACCTCTAAATTTTTAAGTTTAAAATGCAAACACGAAAAATAATGTATCAAATGGCAGGAGCGCAAGAAGATTGGAAGAAATAGCTAAGAACTTACCCCGCACTGTTGATCATAAATAAACTGTGGATCATTTTGTAGCTTTTAGTTACTTCCACGTAGCCCTCCCCCAAAAAACTAGGTTACTCTTCCTACAGCGCACGCGCTGGCAACCAGGAAGTGTAGAAGCGCCTGCTGGCGACTTTTTATCAAACTGCAGCTTGCAACCAAACGGTGTAGAAGCGCCGCCTTGCGACTTTTTATCAAAGTGCAGTTCAGTTACCCCAGAAAATCACGTGTGGGACGTTCTCTTGACTTCCTTTGCCAAAAAAGCTCAGAAGTCCACTTTTGTAAGACCAGATCAAGGAAGGAAAGTGGTAAGTTGTGATTTGTGTACCGTGTGTTCCTATAAGTAGCTGTGTTTTAAGAAATATTGTGTTGAAAGGCCAAAACGATACAGAATTTCAATCAAGAATATGGGGAGGGGGGCACACGACCTTACATGTAAAGTGTACTGTAAGTGTACTGTAACGTTACTGTATGTATTTTTTTAATGCCCACGATCATGATAATGATCATTTTCTTAGTACACTTAAGTTTTATACCGCTGTCATACCAAACAATATTCTATGTTCTTCACCACTTTCTCCTTTCTGTTGCAGGTTTTTGATATATGACTTCTGCTGTGGATTGTTGACATTAAAAGTTTAAAGGCCAGGGAAGCATACAACCATGAACAGGGCATTAAGACTCCTGGTGTCTCACTCAAGATTTGTGTTACCAACTTTCAGAGGGACCCCATTTAGAACTCCATACATGTACTCTTCAAATCCTCAAAGAGTTACATGTAGATATCTCTGTCTTGCCAGAACTCAAACTAGTAACGTTACCACAGAAGAGAAAGACAGGCTCATAGAACGGATCGATAGTTTCGAAGATCACTCGGAAATTCTGAACTTTCTCCACGAGAATGAAAGAAGCCTTACCCCCGTACATATCAGTAAAGCCCTGGACGCGCTATGGCTGATCCAGTCACAGAAGGACAGATATCAACAGAGTTTTGACGCGGTAGGGAACAGCCCCGTGTTTGGGAAAGTTTGCGAGATGGTCCTTCAGCAGTTAGGGGGAGAGAAGGTGGACAACGAGTTCGTGATATCTAGTCTGTACGTGCTCTCACGACTCGGACTCGAAGCATCAAACGTTTTGATGCAGCAGCTGTTCTTGAAGGGATGTCGAAGCTTGGACGAACTGGATATTCCGCAGTTGTCGAAGTTCGTGGCGACTCTGCGTTACATCGGCCCGATGTACTACCGCAGCCCGGTAATGGCAGAGGTCATAGAGGTTGTGTGCCGCCGTCTTGGCGAGATTACGCACATACGCGAGTTCTCGCAGCTGATGATCGGCATGGCACGACTTTCCTCTCCGGATCTGAACCAGCAGTTGGTCGAGAAAGCTGCGGAACTGATGGTGGACTGCGAAGACGACCGAAATCCGAACAACGTCGGCCGCATCCTCCGCGCCCTCAACATCATGAAAACGAAACACCGACAACTGCTGGAGATGATCAGCAGGTATTTCCTCGCCGTAATGGACGAACTCGACGTCCACACGATATTTCGGATCAAAGACGCCGCGAAGGATCTCGGCTACCACAACAGGGCCTTGGAGGAGGCCTTCCGCAGGCGTCTCCTGTCTTTGGTGCCTGATTCGCACGACAGCTTCCGGAAGTCAATGATTCCGTGCCTGCTTTGGTGCCTGGGCCCCGTAGCGCCGACCGGCGTAAAGCGAAACCTCGAGACCCTCGCTTTGCGACAACTCCCAGATCACATCCAAGAGATGGAACTTGTAACGCTCCTTCAAGCCCTGGAAGCGATGCGTTGTCGTAACCAAAATCTGCTACAAAAAGTGGCAAGGCTAGTCCAGCCTCATATAAATCTCGAAGATGTGAAGTTGAAACCTGTACTCCAGTCGGCTAAAACCTTCATGGCGGCAGGTTACGACGATCAAGCCTTCCTCGCGCAGCTGAGGTACACGCTCGTTTCCGTGGCGGGGAGCACGTTCAAGCCTCCCGTGGTCGCGGAGTGCGTGAACTGTCTGTCCCAGCTTCCCGGAGGAAGACTCGAGGACGCCGTGGTCAAGAAGATCGACGCGATGCTCCCGCAGTTCACGTTCGCCGAACTGGGGCTGATCACGCAGAGCCTCCGTACGCTCACCACCAACACGACGGTCCAGAAGGCCAATCAGAGAGCTCTGTCGGACCTCTTCAGGAACGTGAACGCCACGGTGATCGAGCGGCTCCACCATGTCACAACCTTCAGGACCCTCCAGAAGGTCGTCCTGTCGTACTACGTGGAATCCCCCGCCTGGACGTCAACCTTTCTAATCGACGAGATCGTGAAGTGGTACGAGAGAAACCTCGGGGAGGTCGACAGACTGACAGGCAACAACTTAGCGTCCTGGGCGATGGTGATGTCGCGTACGCGCGTACAACACGGTCTCATTCTCGACACCCTCGCGAACACCGCGGTCCGAAAAATCCACACCCTGCAAAACGACCACCTCCTTACCATCCTATCCGTGTTCGGTTTCCTGAACTACAGTCCAACGAACGCGGATGAGTTTTTCGGCGCCTGCGTAGACGCCATTACGAAGAAGCTGTGGACTATCCAACCCTACATCCTGATCAGACTGGCCTACTCCTTAGCTCTACTGCAGCAGCTACCAGCTGACGTTGTGAAGAGAGTTTTCCAGGTCAAGTTTCTGGAACAACTGGACACGTACCTGGAAAGTGAGTTCAGGACCCGAAAGACAAATTTACTTTTCCTGCATACAAGCTCGTATTGGACCACTGGTGCAAGTAACATTCAAAATGAGTCATAACCAGTTAGAAAATCACCAACCCCTATATATACAGTGTACCTAACACATAACCTTCTTGACAAAGGTAATTACTTGGCCTGCACCAAAGAAATCCCTAGGCCTGAACCACTAGCTGGTTTTTTTATGCCTTTCAGTTGTTAAGACAAACACTTTGAATGCTACTTTGGACTGGTGCAGGTTAGGTACAGAGTAGACATTATAAATGCATATCATCTGTAGTTGGGGTTTTAAGTTCCGAAGTTAAATCTCATTATATAAACATGTAAATAAGATAACTAGAAAGGAAATGAAGGAAATTTTACAAGGATGGGAAATTATTTTGCAATATTTTAATAATTTCTGCAATTACACATAAAAACTGCTGGTAGGCATATGTGTACATCATATTATATCATACCCGGGCCGCGATAACGTTCGAAACGCTTCCCTGGCTTCCATAAAACTATTCGAACGCGTTTCGTCCTAACCGCGTGCGCCCCTTTCGAAAATTCGAATACAGAATCCGGACGTTGGAACTGATGTTGTTGCATTTGAGGGTTTAGGGGCACCAACTTTTGGCTCATCTTGCATTGAAAGGCGCGTTTTCTTGGGTGGGTATGATATAAATAAAATACAACACGGTGTATTCCGCATCGCCCTCGGTCCCGGCCCTCCCGCGAGTCGGATCGCCCTCCGGCCTGTGGCCGTCGGGCGATCCGACCCGCGGTCGGGCCGATACCTCGGGCGATACGGAATACCCCGTGTTGTATTCTATATGTACAGTACATGTAGTTTTACATTATCAACAACCACAATATAATATTGCTTTGGTGTCGATGCAGTACATCTAAGTATCACCAGGGGGCATACAAACACTGTAAAAGAAACACTCCCGTTACAGGATCGAAGGACCACCACAACGCCCAGTTACGTGACACCCTGATGCGCGTGAACCGCGCCGTGGTGCTGGAGTATCCGGAGTACGACATTCCCTGGTTCCATGGACAGTACTGCAGCGAAGTCGCCAAGAAAGGTCGGTGACCATTTACCCAACATGACTTGTAAATACCGGGAAGCTTTTTATTTCTTTGCTTTTCATACAAAAAATAGCAAGACATAGTAAATTTAAGTTTTAACCTTTGGTATTTGTCATAAAACTATAGTTGTGTTATGCCATAAAACAGTCTTACATGTATTTACCAGACAATAGACAGACAAATTGAATGCAAAAAAGTTTTTTTATGTAACAGTCAAAACTGCCCTGTTAATTACTCAAATATATTCATGGTCAGACAGGAGTATAAATCCCTCCTACTGATAAAATTGCAACATCATGTAACACATGTAACCCAACACCAGTTACCATGGTGACAGACATCAACAAATCAGGTTATTGACTAGGTCAGAGGTCTGTTGGGAACGGAAGAAGAAGAGGAAATGTAGCAAAAACAATGTTTCCTTCGGTAGACATAATAAAACATTAATATTTTCCCTCCCCAGTTCCAGTCCTGGACGGTGTGGAGAAACAGATACAGGAGGTTCTGACTGATGTTTTGGGCGGACCTGAGTTTGTCAGGTCAAAGGTCATCTCTCCTTACTTCCAAACAATAGGTGTGTATTGTGGTTTAAATCAGCCCCTCAAAATGCAGGATATAGACATTTGACATGATATATTGAGATTAAAAAAAACTGGACGTAGAACACTGGCCTGATGTCTTGCTTCATCTGAAGTCTAAAACCTGCCCAGAAGAGAACAAGAAATAGCCATATGCCTTCAAGTACCAGAGTTATCAACCAAGGATTGAGGTGTTCAAGAATTCATTCTTTCCTAGAACTATCACAGAGTGGAACTCGCTGTCACCAAGTACCGTAGGGGCATTGTCATTAGATAGCTTTGAACAATGTCTAGAGTTAGATGTTCAAGGGTTAGTTGTAACAAGTCGATCAGTGTAATATAGCCAGCTGCCGCCGCGCCGCGTGCCCGCAAAGCTGGTGTGTTACGCCATGCCAAAGGGCGGTTATACCAGATATACAGATACAGAAAATCTGTTCTGTTTGTTTGTCTGCAGATTTTGAGTGTTATCTGACAGAGGAAGGCTCAGCCCTGCCATGTGTGGAGTATGGAGACTTCTGGAACAGAGCTGAGGGGTGTTGGCAGAAGGCTACCAAACCTCTACCTCCCACAGCACACAGGTAAACTTTCTCAAACACGTTTGAACTGTAATTTCCAACATTGGATTTATCTTGTCAAGGAATGAGCAATCCACTGCTTCCATGACGTCCCATTATACAGATAACACACATGGCTTGGTGAGCTTTGGATCATCAGTAGCAGAAAGTTTGTAGTGTCCCCTGTCTCTGTTGAGGGAAGGTTGTAATGCCCTGATGTACACGTGAAATGCAATATACATGTAGATACCTTTTTTAATTTGCAACAAACATTATTCACTTCACTATTTCTATTTTTTTTCTGTCCAGAGTTGCTATTGACTACCAGGATGCCCGTGACTACTGTAGGAACTCCCAGCACCTACTGGGGCATGTGGCCATGCGGAAGCGCCACCTAGAGATTCTTGGCTGTACTGTCATTCAGGTAAATATTTTATTTCAGAACACTTGTTAATTTGTTCCTTTACCTTTTTGATATCCCTCAATTCAACATTAAATCAAGACTTTTATCTGCTTTGGGCCTTGGACTTTAAATGATTGTGAGATTTACTTTGTTGATTATTAGCTAAATGGTACCTTGTACATTTTATTAGAATTAACTTATGTACAATTTTATATTTTAGTGTCTGTTTATGTATCATTATTTTGTCTCTAATTGTCTCTAATTGTCGATTTGCTATAATTTTTAATTTGTATAATTGGTCTCTACAATTGTTGATTCTCTGTAATTGTTGATTTTCATTTGTTTCAAAAATGAATACTAGTATTATAATTATTATTATATTATCTGAAAGTTAAGAGTAGTGTAGTGTACTACAGTGTATAACATTTGCCAGTTATGAATAAATACATTGTAAAACTGCATTAGCAGTTATGAATGAATAAAACTGAATTAGCACTATAATAACCATAATATCATTATTAATATGTAATTGTTTTATTGGCAGATTCCTCACTTTGAGTGGAACTCTATGAAGCTGGCTACTGAAGAGTCCTGGAAGGAGTACCTCCAACAGAAGCTTTCTGCTGCAGTTGGGAAATCAGTCACAAGGGGGCAGCAATGACCTTCAATGCAAAGTTACCAGAACTGGGCAAATATTGTTGCAGAATGTGTAATGTAGTAAATCAAAGGAAATGGTAGTTGTTGTTTTGAAAAATTAATGATATTTAATATCTAGGAAATCAGAATGAACATTTATTCAATAAAGATATATTGTAGGATAAAAATATCTGTTGTCTCCCTTTTTTTCTATGGTTGAAAACAAGGAGTCACAAAGTAGTGGGGGTGAAGTCTGCCATCTCTGATGTCTTGTGTGTGTGGAAAGGGAGAATGTTTACGGGGAAAGGCCATGTTGATTTGATTATATGGATGACATCTGCGCACCCATGAATTTTCGGCCGTTTCCAAAAAAAAAAGTTTTCAACCAAAACAGTTGCAATACTAGCAAATATATACCATAAGTTGCACAAAAAATATTGGAAAACAATACCAATGTCGTAGAGTGCCAAAATCAAACGAAAAAGACGACAATGAAAAGAATTGAATTTGAAGAGTAGATTATTCGCCAAATCATACTTTGTGTCCTTTGTTCAACCTTCATGACCACGTAGATTTCATAATGAAAGCAACTTTTTTTTTGTCAAACTTTTTTTTATTCGCACGCTCGCATCAGTTTTGGTGTTCCACGATGGTCAGATTGGGCCCAAAAGTCCCACTCTGCTACTACATGTATGGAGATCGAATCCCCCGAACCCGCGAATCTTGTTCGATATGACGTCATTCGAATAGAACGGGCGTTCGATCCGGGGTTACCCGCGGTCATTTACAGTAAAGCGGCTACTTCAAGCCCTTTTTTACTTGGGAACCACGGAACAGGAAAAATCCACCTTTCCACAAATATGAACCGTTTTCAAAACATTACATCTATGCCGTGATTTTATTGTGGATATGTAACATGTAACGAAGCTACTGCCGTCATCGTGGGTGACCTTGAAGGTCAGAATTCTTGTTGACGCTGTTATAAAATCCAGGTCCCCATATCCAAGTGGCACAGCATGCGTGCAAACATGGTATTTTAACCATTCCCAAAAATCGCTCAAATTACCTCGTTGAGGGCTTGTTTGGAAGAGGAACGATTTCCGCAGATTTCTGTCTTGGGGATTTTTTAAATATGGCCGCGATTATGAATTATCGGTATTTAAAGTTAAAACACTGCGTTTTTAGCTCTTCTTTTGACTGTAAGTCGAGTTTTAGTTAAAAAATAAAAAATCCTAAGACAGAAAGTTTATATTTACTGTAATATTTCTAAAAATCCAAAAATCTAACCTTTTTTTAATTTTCGGGGCCTCTTAAAATCAGTTGTTTGGTTCTCGTGAACCCTTTTTGAAATCCGAAATTGATCTCATTTGGAAGCAAATGTACACAAAGTGGAGCAAAGGCAGTGCAAGAATAACATTTGGGGTAAACAAAATCACTTATTACATTTTATTTTGACGAGTATTTACTCTCCAATTACTTTTGTTTATTTTCAAATTTTACCCGTTGCCCCCGGGCCGGCCCGGGCGTGGCCCGGACTCCCGCGCGGCCACGTTCGAACACGTTCTGTAACCCGATACCTCCCTAGTAATGCGACTTTTAGCCTAGCAACCGACCGCCGTGTTCCTTGAGGATGACATCCATATAATCAAATCAACATGGCCTAACATGGCAAAAAAACCCTCACGACTTCGAATAGTGAAATTATTTATTTCTGTCAGTTTTCTTAGCTCAATTCAAATTTGGAAATGCAACCATGCACAATTTTAAATACTTATTGGTAATGCCAGATAACACCAGGGCTAGAGACCATGGTCACCATTGCAAGACAAGTCCTCTCTGACAGTTGTCTTTCTTTATGCCTTAAGCCTTCTAGAAAACTGCTTGGGCACCACACCAGATATTAAAAAGCTGGCATACAAAGTAAACATTTAAACAGTTTAGGACAGGGGCACACAGGGGAACGGTATTCGGTAAGCATGTATGTTAAGAAAAATCTGTACCAGAAAGTAAGCAATATTTTAAACAATAAACTGGTGCTTTAGTTGTCTGGCACAGTTTCACCCAACCACTTCATGTAAGCAGGGTTTCCTTGGTCTAGCTGTAAAACAGAAAGAATACTTCTATGAGTAATTTAATCAGGTTGGTGAATGATTGAATAGCAAAGGTATTTATTCACAACCACTTGTTTAATAAGAGCCAACGTTAATTTCAGCAACTGTCATCTTCATCAGGGCAATTATGATTGGTTCACTGTAAACCAATCACAACTGCCAAATACCGTGCCCTTAGAAAGGCTACAGGGCTTCCTTTACATTTTACAGTTTATATATTAATTTTAGTTTATTAATTTTAGTTATTTATTTAGTCTCCAAGCAGAGGTTGGTGGGGGAAGATTATGCCCTGTTTTTTCTGTTGCTAGTGACAGAAAAAAAAACAGGGCATATTAGAAGGGTCACAATCTTCCCCACCAACCTCTGCTTGGAGAGTATTTATGAGTTCAACACAAATTCATCGAACTCCAAAGAAAAGGCTGTCACCTTGGTGCTGATGACTTCAGGAACATCATATGGGTGGTTCTTTCTGAAAGGGGAGAAAGATTTTTTGATAACAAAAGAACAGGAAGAATTTCTTTAAGGTTCACGTATAAGTTTACTGTATTTTACAGGATAATTCTGCAAGAAAAAACTTGATAAACTCACCTGACAAATTCTGTCAGTGCTGCAACCTTACTTGTCCTTGTCTTGATCATCTGTAAGGAAAATTGTACACTTGAGTAAAGAAACTGAAATATCTATCCTAAATGTGAAAGGCTCTTTTAGTACCATACAGTTACTTCTGGGACGGAAGTATTGCTTTGGGTGGCACAGGTTAGGGGATGTTTGTGTGTATCTTGTTCTTTACAGCAAGGAATGCATAATGTGTAATTATGGTATGAAACATAAACTATGGCCATGGTGTAATACTGGAGTTAGTTATGTCATACAGTTTTATGAGTAATAATTCATTGTATGATGTACATGTAATTCAATCAGGTATTTCCCCATTATCATACAACACAGTTCCAATACAGTTATAAAACTTCCCAAAAGTGTGAAATTTCTTGTTTACAAGTTGATAAAACTTGTTACTCACCAGTAGAAGTTCTCCATCCTCTTCAATCTTCCCCTCCCATTCATAACTAAGGATGCAATGATAAAAGATACGTAAATTACCTCTTTGAAAACCATCTCTTCCAACTTGGTACTCTAAAATTATGAAATTTTCATAGTAGTTTTATTCCACGGTGACCTCTTCACTGTAAATTTACGACATTGTGAATGTTTTTCTTGTATGCGGTCACCGCAAAAATCATGCAAAAGGTTTACATTTACTTAACATGTCATACCCTGTTCTTGGTGCTGAATGCCATCAGCTGTACATGCAATATAGCCTACAAAGCTACATGTACTTGTGTGTCACTGCAATACTGTGACAGTAAACTACATGGTCTATATATCTACCATGTCATACCCTGTCCTTGGTGCTGAATGCTATCAGCTGAGCCTGTACTATAACCTACATACATGTACATGTAGATACATGTAAGTGTCACTTTAGTACTGTGACAGTAAACTACATAGTCTATATATCTACCATGTCATACCCTGTCCTTGGTGCTGAATGGTATCAGCTGAACCTGTACTATAACCTACACGTACATAGCTACATGTAAGTGTCACTTTAGTACTGTGACAGTAAACTAACATGGTTTATATATCTTCAAGTGTACCATGTCATACCCTGTCCTTGGTGCTGAATGCTATCAGCTGTACCTGTACTATAACCTACATAGCTACATGTACATGTAGGTGTCACTGCAATACTGTGACAGTAAACTAACATGGTTTATATATCTTCAAGTGTACCATGTCATACCCTGTCCTTGGTGCTGAATGCCATCAGCTGTACCTGTACTATAGCCTACATAGCTACATGTAGGTGTCACTGCAATACTGTGACAGAAAACTACATGGTCTATATATCTTCAAGTTTACCATGTCATACCCTGTCCTTGGTGCTGAATGCCATCATTTTTACACCCAAAATGGTTTGGGAACAAAATGCATTCTTGTACATCAGTAGGAGAAAAAAGAATCTCTCTTAATTATCCTGATTATTAATTAATTAATAATTAATTACTAAATCTAAAAGCAACAAATTTAATATTACTCACACAGAGATGATCTTGGGTATGATGTTAACACAGGCTGCCAGCTTGTTTTCCACTAGACCCCTGGAAATAGATAGGTTACACACTGTTACTCAAGCAGCAAGCAAATTTTATGGAAGACATCCTCCGCAGACTTCAAAATCTAATGCGAGCGGACAAAAAAACAAGACGGGCCGAAAAAACAAGGTTCCTACATTTAAAATTTTGACTCAATCATGGTACAAATGGTTTTGATTCAGTGGGAACATCACATATACACAGCCAGCATCACATATCACTGTATCAAAGTAAGAAACAAAACATTTTAAGTCTTTTCTTGTCTCCTCTCTTCATAGTTATCTGCCATCCACGTTCCGGCATGGCAACAGACATCTTTGCCCATTTTCGGCACTGTCAGAAGGCAACAAAATTTCTTGTTTTTTTTCCCCAAAATCAGGCGAAAATTAATGCGCGTGCTGATGTCATCCATAAAAATTACTTACTGTGGCGTACACAAAGATTTCTTCCTTTCATTTCAGGATTTGTATTTTGCCTTTAAGTTATCAAATGTTAGATTCTAATTTGTATTTTATTACGTCTGTACTTTTTGTGGATCAGGCATGCTAGGTATCGTTGCAAAGAAATACAAAAAGTGGTCTTGCCATACGCTCCTAGCAACAAGCAAGTATACTCTGGCATCCTGTTGGCTTGAAAAGTAGTAATGGACAACAAGAATATATTCAAAATTAAAACAAACTGAAAATATACAAACATCGACCACTAACTTAAGGCCAAACCATTTTAATTTGTTGTTTCTCAGATTCACCCTGTCCATTTTTTTCTACTAGTAGTACATGTATGTGAATGTGTTTGAGTATGTCCGGAAGTAAACATTATGCATTTGTTTTGTTACTTCTCTAGTTTTAAACCTACTTTGCGATTTTCTTGCCGACGTCTTCGTCAGGCACGGTGACGAAGCACGCGGAGTGCGTGCCGGAGGTGTACGCCGTAGTTTCCGCCATGACACCGTAGAGTCTTCGTGCGCCTGCCCACAGATACGTCCGCATCAACACACAACTAACCAGCAACACCTGCACAGTGAAACAAGAGTGTCACAATATTCACTAAATTAATTGAATGAAATTTTTACACATATCAAAAGGTAGCCTGAAATCCATTGTTCTTAGCTCCATGTATATGACCGCTCCTCAGATAACCTATACCTAACAAGGCTGAATTTCATTTCAGGCTAATAAAAATGTAGGCGTGCCCTAAATCTGATCAGGAAATTTAGCCAACCTTAACCTTGTAGGTAATGGTCATATCAGGGGAAGGTTCTGAATGTGTGACAGGCTAGTAGTAGTGCTGTGTACCTAAACCGTGACATTTAGGTTCAGGTCTGGATTCAACTTGGCAACGTTGCAATGTTGTATGGACAAAACTGTGGCCACATAACATGGAGGCCGACACTTGCCCGATGGCAATGATTAGTTCATTTTGCAGCACAGATTTTGTAGAATTAGAAAATAATGGATATATGGTGAAAAATGCTACTGGAACTGGTTTCAAATTCCATTACAGTCCAATACTAGTAGCTGTCTGTCAAAGGAATCCTATAAATTATATGGAGCTGAATTAGGTTTGCCCTCCATGAGTTCAAACTAGAATGAAATGCAGCACTAAATTGAATGGAGCTTTGAATGGGCTGGGCTAGGGAACTGCTATTAATAATGTCTGTGAACTGTGAAAGGCGTAGGAAAAAATGTTGTGTTTCTGGTTAACTCGTGGCATATACAAAATTGCATGTTGGCAACCTTGCAATGTTGTTTGGGCAAAATTTTGGCTACATAACAAGGAGGCCGACACTTGACAATGCCCAATGGCACTTAGGTTTTCTAGATGTTGCAATCTTTGGAAGGTTTTAGGTGGTTTGGAAAGAAAAGGGGTATGTGACATGTTTTTTTTTGTAATAAGTCCGGTCTTGGTTCTTGACTTTTAGGTTTTTTTTTTTACTTGAACCTAAACATCTTTACAAGTCCCGAACCGGTCCAGCGAACCGGTACACAGCGCTAGTGACAGGGACTATAATCCAATGCGAACAATGGCATACATGTCGAAATTTCTGCAAGGTTAACACATATATCCAATATGATAATGAAATATCTATAACAGGCTATGAACATGCGTCAGTTGACATTGCACTTGCAATAATCTATATAGTATAATATAATGCTGAGCGAGTGCAATACAATTGCTGTTTTAATTTTTTTTCATATTTCAAAGTGTCTACCAAGCAATTAGTCTTAATTTTTGTCGTCGGCTGCTGCTTGGACGTTGTAATGTCTAAAAATGAAAGTGACATCATGAAGAGTGAGAGTAAAATCATAATATTCATTAACGTTAATAATTTTCGTCATAATATCAATAATGGAAAAATAATAACTGAATATTGAGACTCAAACGCACCAGTATGCCAGCAGCTATCTGTTTAGACATGCACAACACCTCAGACCTGTATTATATGACGTTAAAATATGGAAACAATTTCTGCCAACCTGTCAAATATCTCGTGTAGTACCATAGGAAGGTCAAAGGTAACTAGACGATACTACATTTTTATAGGTAATACATGTGAATCTTATAATCATTTAGTAAATAAATCCTACCGTACATGTATTGATGTATCGTTTTAGAACTATCAAACATAAATTGCAATGATTAAAATAGTTATGTATACAAAAAATGCGGTTAAAGTGCATTTTTAAAGAGTTTTCTAATAATACTTTCCCCTATGGTAAGAATAGTTTCTTCCTAAATTCTCATAATAGCCGCCATTTTCAAAACACGGAAGTAGACGAAGGCGTGCGTTTGGTGCTGCGTTTTCCTCCGTTTTCCGCATTTCTTTTCGCCCTTAAAGATGACATCCGGCCTTCCCAAGGAACTCCAAGGCGTCGTGCCTGGTTGTAAGAAGGCGCTGCATCTTGAGACGCTGGATAAGAGCAAATTGGGAGCTCCTTTTTTCTTCGTTTTGGCGCAGAGTGCAGAAAGACTTTTCCAAGGTAGATTCCAAGAGAGCCTGGGGTTTGCCACCAATGTTTTAGATTTTTGCTGGGAAAAGTTGAACACGGGACACTGGAAAGATGTTGACGTCTGTTGGAGAGAGGTTTTCACGTTTGGATCATTGTTTAAAGCCGTCTGCCAGTTCGGAATGAGGGATCAATATAATACAATGGTAAGATTTCATATGCAATTTATCATAATATTAATCATAATCATAATATTAATTTTGATCATTTGATGCTTATCACGCAAATGTTATGGTCGCCATAACATGTATTTTCTGGAAGGGAAGTATTGTTTTGGGTGAGTTTGTTAGTGTGTTTGTGCCTTAAAATTCGGAATGAGAGGTCAAATTATAACACAATGGTAAGATTTCATATGCAATTTATCATAATTTTTGATAACCATGAGTGATGTTTATCACGCAAATATTATGGTTGGCATAACATGTATTTTCTGGAATGGAAGTATTGTTTTGGGTGGGTTTGTTTGTGTGCAAATTAACACAATGGTAAGATTTCATATGCAATTTATTATAATATTTAATCATTTGCTTATCACGCAATTATTATGGTCGTCATAACATGTACTTTCTGGAATGGAAGTATTGTATTGGGTGGGTTTATTTGTGTGTTTGTGTGTTAAAATGATTATCTGGACAGACAAATTATGGTAAGATTTCATATGCAATTTATCATAATATTTGATCATTTGATAACCATATATTTGACGCTTATCACGCAAATATTACGGTCGTCATAACATGTACTTTCTGGAACAGAAGTATTGTTTTGGGTGGGTTTGTTTGTGTGTTAAAATGATTGTCTGGACAGAGTACATGTGTACTAGTAGTAAGCCAGGAGTCAGCAAGATATAAAAGTAGGTAGGCATGTGGGGAATTCAGGAAGCAGAGATTTCATAAGCAACCCTCCAACCCTGTACATTATATATATGATAACCATATTGATATTTATCATGCAATTGTTTTCATTCATGTAAGTCTTAACTGTATTGAAACTGTTGTTTACTTAGCTCTTGCATGTTGTTGTTGTTGACAAAACTGTATTATAAACATTTAACATTTTTGCTCAGATTCTATATGATGCTCATGTCATACATATTTCTCCTAATATGATAGGTTCATTGCAATATCATATTTTTATAGTATAAAATACAGATAATAACAATGGTTATGGCATTTAATATCATTGCTATAATAATATCTACATCCTTACCAAAACATTATGAAATACAAGATCTAATATCATAACATTACTACATTCAAGACTACTAAGGTAAGATTATCAAACATATATATATACTATCAATATTACATATGAACATTGTTGCATGGTTGTATATGTCATGTAAAACCACTCTACCTATATAAATGAGTCAGTTTGCACGAATGGTGATCGGTTTTGCGTCGAGCCAACGATTACGATCTCTCGCTGAGGGATATGAACGCAATAAAAATCAATTTCAGTGCAGTAATGTCCCTACTGGATGGCTTAATGGACCAGATTGGTCCCATATAAATCAAAATCCAATTCTCTGTTTGCCTGACTAAGTTCAACCTGAATTAATTCTTCTATATAATATAGTGCTGTGTACCAGTTCGCTGGACCCGTTCCGGACTTGTAAAAATGTTTAAGTTCAAGTCTGAAAAAAAACTAAAAGTCAAGAACCGATTCCGGACTTATTACAAAAAAAAAAAACATGTCACATACCCCTTTTTTTCCAAAATCTGTAGATTGCAATCTCTGTGCTGCAAAATGAAGAAAACATTGCCAGATCGGGCATCTTCAAGTGTCAGCCTCCATGTTATGTGGCCAAAATTTTGCCCAAACAACATTTTTTCTAACGCCTTTCACAGTTCAGAGACATTATTAATAGCAGTAATCCCTAGCCCAGCCCATTCAAAGCTCCATTCAATTTAGTGCTGCATTTCATTCTAGTTTGAACTCATGGAGGGCAAAACTAATTCAGCCCCATATAATTTATAGGACTCCTTTGACAGACGGCTACTAGTATTGGACTGTAATGGAATTTGAATCCAATTCCAGTAACATTTTTCACCATATTAGGCCACACCAATTTAATTTCTTGGTTAACGGATTCGCCCGCTTAATTTTTTTCTGATCTGTAGAAAAAAAAACAGAATCAACTGCAAAATGCTCATATTTTGCCCTGAACAGTTGAAAACAGTTCTTGTCTTCCTAGTTGTTACAGATATTCCATCTTTCAATGCAGTGGTATCATTTAAAGTTCAAAATTCATTGCTTAAATTTTGAACCAGCCTGGTATGTTGACTTCATGGCTCCTATCGTACCATTTTGGGCCATAGTAGGATGCCTAGGCCTGTTTTTATTTTTATTATTTTTTCGCCCACCCGCTCCATTATTTTTCTTGAAAAATCCGTTAACCAAGAAATTAAATTGGTGTGGCCTAATTCTACAGTAGTTATTAAAGTAATCATGGAAATTGGAATGCCAAATTTGGTAGCAAAATCTATTCTGATTCTAAACAATTTATGTTTTCAGGCCGGTGGTCACAGCATCTAGTGTAAGGACGTTTGAAACCATTTCAAGAAGCATTTTTCACCATTTTATTCATCAATTCCTTTCTAGTTAGATAAAATGGACTGAAATACCAAATTTGGCAGCAAAATTTGTACCAGTTCTACGCAATTTATGTTTTAAAGCCACACTGTAACTGTTGTAATGAAAGTTGAAATTATTTCAGGCAACAATTTCACTATGTATATCCATTCCTTTCTAGTTTAGATATAATGGATTGAAATACCAAATTTGGCAGCAAAATTTGTACCAATTCTACGCAATTTATGTTTTAAAGCCACGCTGTAACTGTGTAATGGAAATTGAAACCATTTCAAGCGGCAATTTCACAGAATCCATTCCTCTATAGTCACATCTAATGGCTCGCGATACCAAATTTGGCAGCAAAATTTATAACCAATTTATTTTTAAAGCCACATATACACGAGAACTCGTGTAACTTCCAAACCATTTCCACCAACAATTTTTATCATATCCATTCCTCTGGTGTTATTAGATTTAACGAAACGCAATAACAAATTTGTAACTGAGATTTATTATAGATATTCCATATAATTCATGTTTCATAGCCGCCATCTGGTATACATAATTGATTAGAAACCATTTCCAGTGACATTTTTCACCATATCTTTACCTCATTGTGTGGCATTGATAGCGGCAGTTTTGGTTGTGCGTAGGTTAACCTTTAGCATACCGAGGTAGCCATTTGGCTACCAATTCTCTATTGGTTACAGGGTTGGGCAGCAGTAAGAAGGTTAAAGTGCGACAGATGTTACTGATTGTACCTCAGATCGCCCCAGTTTTGGTTCTATGTCGTTTAACCTTTAGCATACCAGGGTAGCCATTTGGCTACCAATTCTCTATTGGTTACAGGGTTGGGCAGCAGTAAGAAGGTTAAAGTGCGACAGATGTTATTGATTTTACCTGATAGCCACAGTTTTGGTTCTATGTTGTTTAACCTTTAGCATACCGAGGTAGCCATTTGGCTACCAATTCTCTATTGGTTATGGGGTTGGGCGGAAGTAAGAAGGTTAAAAGTGCGACAGATGTTACTGATTGTACCCGATAGTCCCAGTTTTGGTTCTATGTCGTTTAATTATTATAACCTTTAGCATACCGAGGTAGCTATATATAGCCATTTGGCTACTAATTCTCTATTGGTTATGGGGTTGGGCGGAAGTAAGAAGGTTAAAAGTGCGACAGATGTTATTGATTGTACCTGATATAGTCCCAGTTTTGGCTCTGTGTAGTTTAACCTTTAGCATACCGAGGTAGCCATTTGGCTACCAAATTTCTATTGGTTACAGGGTTGGGCAGCAGTAAGAAGGTTAATAATGTGCTATAGATTTACTGATTACTATAAGGCCACACCAATTTAATTTCTTGGTTAACGGATTCGCCTCTTCATTTTTTTCTGATTTGCAAATAAAAAAAAAAATTCAGAATCAAGTGCAAAATGCTCATATTTTGCCCTGAACAGTTGAAAACAGTTCTTTTCTTACTACTTGTTTCAGTCATTCCCTCTTTCAATGCAGTGCTACCATTAAATGTTCAAAATTCATTGTTTAAATTTTGAACCAGCCTGGTGTGTTGACTTCATGGCTTCTATTGTACCATTTTGGGCCATAATAGGATGCCTAGGCCTGTTTTTATTTTTATTTTTTTTTCGCCCGCCCGCTCCATTATTTTTCTAGAAAAATCCGTTAACCAAGAAATGAAATTGGTGTGGCCTAATAGCTAAGTATACCTCCTGATAGCCACAGTTTTGGTTCTATGTCGTAACCTTTAGCACACCAAGGTAGCCATTTGGCTACCAAATTTCTATTGTTTTTTTTTCTTTTCTTTTTTAAACGGAGTGGTTCAATGCAAGGCCTATATATACAACAACTTCTCGGCATTGAACTAGAAAGATGAGAGAAACATGGCTATGTCAAGAGATGGCGGTGAACGTTTGATTTGAAAGCCTGTAGATTGTAGGTTGGTGGGAAACACTTGTCAGGGTGGGAATTCCAAAGCTTGGCCGTACGGGGAAAGAAACTGTCACTGTAAAAAAGGTTATAGGGTTGGGCAGCAGTGGTATTGGTTAAGGAGTGATAGATTTTATTGATTGCGCCCGAATTATTCATGAAAAGTCCCCACCGCCGTAACAGAGCTGTCAGAACAACTCACATTTATCTTTGTTCTGCGCCGCCAAATGAACAACAACGCCGGGAAAATTGAGACTTGATTAAAACACTGCTCACCACAGCATACTGAGTTTGTGGGCAGGGAAGAGAGCAATTGATCATGTAAGGCCATACCAATTTAATTTGTAGGTTCTCGGATTCGCCTCTTCATTTTTTTCTGATTTGCAAAAAAAAAATAAAAAATTCAGAATCAACTGCAAAATGCTCATATTTTGCCCTGAACAGTAGAAAACAGCCCTTTTCTTCCTAGTTACAGTTATTCCATATTTCAATGCAATGGTATCATTTAAAGTTCAAAATTCATTGTTTAAATTTTGAACCAGCCTGGTGTGTTGACTTCATGGCTCCTATCCTATTTTGGGCCATAATAGGATGGCCTGTTTTTATTTTTCTTGCCCGCCCGCTCCATTATTTCTCTAGAAAAATCTGTTAAACAAGAAATTAAATTGGTGTGGCCTAATGGTAGAAGCAGCATGAAAAAGATTAATTTTTGTGAATCTCTGTGGATCACTGTTTGCGTAATGTTCTCTGACCTGATATAATCTTTATGGATTTCTATTTGTATTTTGAGTAAAATGTCTGAATATTCACCAAAAAAGAAAGATCTTAAAAAAAAGAAAGGATATCAGATTCAGAGCTATGCTAGAACAATTATTGCTTTCAATAATGCATGCATGACAAAAGGGGTTCTTGACGTCAATACAGCTAAATTGCTAACACAGGGAGTCTATTGATCTCTACAGGGTTTCAAAATCCATTTCAATTGGTTGTACAATGCCTCATTAGTACACAAACCTGCAGTTGTAGCCTACGTTGCTAGATGGCATTGCAGTACTGTAACAAAACTGCACCATGTCATACATACCCTGTCCTTGGTGCTGAATGCCATCAACTGTACATGTACTTAGTACTGTGAATGTATTCACCTTTTCGGTGGGATGTCACAGAAAAAAATCACACAAATGGAATCACTGGAAACGTTTCTACATTTACAGTACCATGCACCCTGTACTTGGTGCTGAATACCTTCAGTTGTACATGAACTGTATATTTTGAAACTTTTGTGGTTGTTTTATTTCTACATATAGAATTAGGATAGATTTTACAGTCAAAACTGTACAAGTGACCACCTCTATCATAGTCTATGTGACCCATTCTTGGTGGTCACTTAGATAATTTTCCTAGGAAATCATACAAGAATCTTCTCTACATAGACCAGTAAGACATTTATCAGTCCCCTAGGTGGTCTTCTTGGGTAGCTTTGACTGTATAGTTACTATATGTAAGGCCACAGCAAGTAAATTTTATGGATGACATCCTCCACAGACTCCAAATCTAATGCGAGCGGGTGAAAAAAAACAAGGCGGGCTGAAAAAAGCAAGGTTCCTACATTTTAAAATTTTGACTCAATCATTGTACAAATGGTTTTGATTAAGTGGGAACATCACATATACACAGCCAGCATCACATATCACTGCATCAAAGTAAGAAACAAAACATTAAATCAGAGCCTTTCTTGTCTCCTCTTTTCATAGTTATCTGCCATCCACCTTCCGGCATGGCAACAGACATCTATACCCATTTACGGCATGGTGACCACTGTCAGAAGGCAACAAATTTTTTTTTTTCAAAATCATGCGAAAATTAATGCGTGCGCTGATGTCATCCATAAAAATTACTTGCTGGGACCTAAAATGAGTCAAGAACATGGTAAAGAAATACATGCACTTTGCTTAGGATGCCATCAAGACATGTGACCTAGGTCTGCTCATGGGAGCCCCAGTGTTGGACAACATCCTCAGCAGACTGGTCGCAGTACTGCAGAACTCTGCTAGGGGGACAACCAAGCGACCTCAGGAACAATGCTCCAAATCAGCCATCACCAGTCAAGTCAGTGTTTTAATCTTTTGAAATATTATTAAGAAACTGCTTATGAATTTTTGTTGTGTGAAATAGATGCTAGCTGAATTTTCAGCTGTTTTCAAACTATTGTGTTAAACTGGTGTGTTATGTCTAGTATTTAAGACTTTGTTTGTTTGTTTGGTATAACTCAGGTAAACTGCCTTTAGGCGTAACACACCAGTTTTGTACATGTACGCACATTTACATGTACGCACATGTATAAGCTGCGTAAGACCGGACTGTAAGGTTTGAACCACTCACACTGGGACCCCTACTCTTTTCAATAAGTGCGGTGGGATCTTTAACGTGTGTGGGGTGTGGCTCTTCCCTAACACGGGACCTCCATTTAACATCCTATCCGAGGGACGTCCCTAACCAAAGCTAGGTACTCATTTTCACTGGAGTGAAGTGAGGAAAGTCGTGTTAAGTGCCTTTCCCAAGGGCACAAGATTGGTGACATGGTGGGGTTCGAACACGGGACCTCTTGGTTCTGAGTCGAAGACCCTACCGCTACACCACACGACCCCACATTGTACTACGATTACTACCAACACAGATGAACTTCCATGATGCCTAAAGGCTGTTTACCGGTTATTCAAAACAAACAAATTCTGTTTATCTATTTTTGAAATGATCCCCTTCATTTTCACCGGACCTCAGGTACCAAAGCGGCCGAGGACGCTCATCCTACCGGTCATCGACTCGGAGAAGAAAGTACCAAGGGTGCACTGCCCCTCCCTGAAGAGTTTCCTGTTGAACTACATGCGGAAACGTCAGCCTGTCATCATACAGAGTAACATGGAACACTGGCCGGCTAGGAACCACAGGCCATGGAGGTTAGGCCATGTTGATTTGATTATATGGACGACATCCTCTGGGAACCCAAAACTATATATTTTATTATCATAATAATGCATGTGTGCGAATAAAAAAAGAGTTTGGCCCCCCCAAAAAGTTGCTTTCAAGATGAAATCTATGTTGTTTTGAAGGTTGAATAAATGACACAGAGTATGGTTTGGCAAATAATCTAAAATAAGTCTTCAAATTCATTTCTTTACATTTTCGTTTTTTTCGTTTGATTTTGGTATTCTACGACATTGGTATCATTTTCCAACGTTTTTTTTTCAACTTACAGTATGTATTCGCTCATCTTGGAACTGTTTTGTACGATTTACAGTATGGCTGAAAACGTTTTTTTTGGAAACGGCCAAAAATTCATGCGCGCGCGGATGTCATCCATATGTATTCATGAATACATTGGCTAGCTAGCTAAACATTGCCCCAGATCACAATTCAGCACCTGTAGACTACTTTTGCCAGACACTTCATGAATACAAAAGAACGTTCCAACGAAGTGAGAAAAGTGTTGTTCATCTGTTGTCTTGTTTTTTTTCAGTCTGGACTACATCAGTGAGATTGCGGGGTGTCGGACAGTGCCTGTAGAGCTGGGGAGGAGGTACACAGAGGAGACCTGGTCACAGACTCTCATGACTGTGGACGAGTTCATCGACAAGTACATCATACAGGTCAGGGTTTGTGTGCTGTAGATATGGTTGTAGTTTCACAGAAATGTAAACCTAAAGTTAGGCCACACCAATTTGATTTGTTGGTTCTCGGATTTTTTCAGAAAAATCATGAAGCGACAGGGCGAAAAAAATAAAATAAAAACAGGTCTAGGCATCCTATTATAGCCTCAAATGTTTCGATAGGAGCCATGAAGTCAACACAAAAGACTGGGGTAAAATTTAAACAATGAATTTTGAAGTTTTAATCAAACCACTGCATTAATAGACGGAAAAACTGTAACATCTAGGAAGAAAAGGACTTTCCTCAATTGTTGGGGGCAAAATATGAGCATTTTTGAGTTGATTTTTTTTGCAAATCAGAAAAAAATGAAGAGGCAAATCCGAGAACCAAGAAACTAAATTGGTGTGGCCTTAAGTTGTGATTTGTTGTACCATTTGCAACCTGTTGTTTCTATTATTTACTGTACTGTGGTTATATAATTAGGAGGTCATTGTATGGACCTATGTAAGTATGTAAATTTACCTTCGCCAAAAGACAAATCAATTTTGTTCCTCCAGAAATCCTCAGATGTTGGTTACCTGGCGCAGCATCAGCTGTTTGACCAGATTCCCGAGCTTCGGGAAGACATCCGCGTCCCCGACTACTGTTGCCTAGGAGACGGAGACGAGGAGGACATCGTGATCAACGCCTGGTTCGGACCCAAGGGCACCGTCTCACCCCTGCACCACGACCCTCAACATAACCTCTTGGCACAGGTATGGCATGGTCAGCACGTATGCAGAACGTACTGGGCCTACCTGCTGAACTTGTGAAACTGTTTCGGTCCAAGTCCAAAAAAAAGTTGAAAACCGGTTCCAGACTTACAAAGAAACAACAGCGTAAAAATCATGTCACATTCTCTTTTTCGTTCTAAAATACCCAAAACTTTTCATGGACTGTAAAATTTGCACTGTAAAATGAAGAAAACATTGCCATTGGGCATCGTCTGGTGGTGGCCTCTGTAAAAATGTGGCCACAGCTTTGCAAATAACACATCTTGCTTCCAAACCCTGGTAGCATTGTGTACGCACTACAAAATTTTTTGGTAAAGATTCCCCATTTCCCATTGGTAAATGTTCATTTAGAAGTCCCATCCGTTAAGTCAACTAAGTCTTGTTTTGATGTGCCTATAAGTGCAAAAAGTCAAAACTGTGACACCTCTGAATCTTGGGTCTACTCGCCTAGTCACTCAGCCATTTGACACCACGTTTATATATGTCATTGACATTAGTCTTATACATGCTTTGTACATCAATGTGGCATGGTTGTCTTGTGGTTATTAGGGTAGTTGAGTTGGACTAAGAGGGTTTTGTGTTCCAATCCCTGGCAGGCCCTGATATAAGAGCATACAGATACACATGTACATAGCAGTTGACAAAGACTTTGAACATCAAACCATTTTGAATTCTAGACTGTGATACCGACTTGCAGAAAGTAAGTGCTTCACTGCTACAAGTCTGCTGATGTTGATTTCTTTACTACAAGGTTGTTGGATCAAAGTACGTGCGTCTGTATGCTGAGGAAGTGTCTGACTGTGTGTACCCACACGAGGGCCACCTACTCCACAACACAAGCCAGGTACTGGTTTCTCTCAGAGTTTCTCTGAGCTTCTTTGCTTTCTGTCATTTTTACGTACGAATAGTTTCATCAGGTTGGAAAATATAGGAATCAGTGTTCTAGTCAGCCTGAAATATTTTGCGGTCTGGTAGTTCGGTACTTTTGGTTTGATGCAGTATCATGTCAAGTACTTGTGGCAATCTTAAGGGGGCAATTTTCCCCCAGGAAAATTTTGAAATAATGCGCTTGATGTTCACGGTAGTAAATGTTCGTGGTCTGAGAAAAATGGACATGTTCACAGAACTTCTGTATATGTTTACGGTGGTGACAGGTGTAGAAAAAACGATAAGAATGATAAACTGCAAAAACCGTGAACATAAAAGTGAATTACAGCATTTTGAAGGGCAAATTTTGCTGGTAGACTTAGTTTAATAGCATCTCTTTTCATACATGTATCTTTGCATAACAATTTTTGTCCGTCAATGATGACAGATAGTGCAAAGTTTGTCTGTCAAAATTGTGAGTGGCAAAATTCAGTCAAATGAAGGAAAGATGAACACTGGCTAGAACTCTGTATTTCATGCTGCATCCTTGCTGCAACGCACTTACACAATCTCGTTCTGTCCTTTTTTGTGACACACTGTGTCCAGGTTGATGTGGAGGACCCAGACCTGGAGCAGTTCCCCCGGTTCAACAGCGCCCCCTATCTGGAGTGCACTCTTGAGCCAGGAGAGATGCTGTACATCCCACCCCGGTACTGGCACTACATCAGGTCACTGGACGTCAGCTTCTCTGTCAGCTTCTGGTGGTCATAGCGCCCCCTAACATCCCACCCCGGTACTGGCACTACATCAGGTCACTGGACGTCAGCTTCTCAGTCAGCTCATGGTGGTCATAGCGCCCCCTAACCTGCATATACCCAGTACATACATCAGGTCACTGGACGTCAGCTTCTCAGTCAGCTTCTGGTGGTCATAATGCCCCCTAACATCCCACCCCGGTACTACATCAGGTCACTGGACGTCAACTTCTCAGTCAGCTTCTGGTGGTCATAGCGCCCCCTAACATCCCACCTCGGTACTGGCACTACATCAGGTCACTGGATGTCAGCTTCTCTGTCAGCTTCTGGTGGTCATAGGACACTGTATAGTAGCGCCCCCTTTCTATATTGTTGTAAGTTGCACCCCTCCCTGACTGGTACTACATCAGGTCATTATAGCTTCTCAGTAGGTTTCATCTACCAGCAAATATTGCTGGTAGATGCTTAGTTCAAGCTTAGTTTAATGACATCTCTTTCCCTATCTTTACACATTGATTTTTGTCCATCAAAGATGATGCTTACAAGAAAACTGGTGTCAAATCATTGAACTACATGTATGAAGAAAGTTAGGACCTTCTAGTAACAATTGTTACATGGGCTTCCTTTATAGCAATATTCACACAAACCATGTGCTTCCAAATAAAAGTAGCCAGACCTTCAAACATGTTTTGTAACAATGTAAGTAATCACAAGAATATGTACAGTATACAAACAGTATATACTTCTGCACTTATACTTACTGTAAAGTATACTAGAAAGATAATAATATAGCATCAATTGAAAAGACTATCTGCATGTAGATCTAGTATGTAGCTTAAGAGATGTAGAAGAAACATAGTGTAGTATATAGACTATATAGAGTATATGTAGACTATAGAAGAATTTAGTTCTAAATGATTAGTACTATAGAGGGAGAACATATGAACATATTCAATAACATCAAAGTAACTCTAAGGGCTGAGGAGTTTTAATGTTACAAAGTGCAATAAAAATGTGCCATTAGGCACTGTTTCTTGATGTGATAATATGATAGGCATGTTTACATGTATAAACAAATATATATTGGCAAAGTAAGACCTTATATATGATTGTGATTTCACTGGAAAAGGTACAAAGTGAATGAAATGCATGAGTGGCCAAATAATAGATATAGCACATCCATGGAAATTTTGTAGTGGCAAAACGAAAAAATATTCTAGATACTGACATTTACTGCCATTTCTTAGCCTTTTTTGTTATTTATCATACTTGAAGCAATTCAAATACATGTAGCCAAAAACAAGCTACATGTATATGTACAGTCTCTTTTTTGTAACACTGTGAACACCTTTAAATAGCTATAACAAGCTATATTGTGTGCTGTGAGATAGTATTTGTTCAACTTAACTACATTAAAAAATGACCAGCAAAATATATTGAGACAAGAAGTTTTGCTATGTTTTATTACATTATACTACTTTCCAGTAACCCTGTAAATAATTTCATCAAGTTGGTAAACAAATGAATAGCAAAGTTCTTTGATCACAACCATTTATTTTCACGAGCCGACGTTGACCGTCTGTCATCTTCATCAGGGCAATTCTGACTGGTTTACTGTGCACTGACGCTAGATGTTACTTGGTGCATAGCGGCCACTAAAGGTGTTACATGGTTCATATATAACTGAATTTCAACAGATCTTTTATGCTTTTGAACATGTGTACAGTTCTTTTGGCATGACTTGTAGACTTTGGAGAATTTGGAAGGAAATAATATAAATAAAGCTATTCCACCATCTCAACATCTTGTTCAGGATCTTGTCTTGTGTCTTGAGGAATGTCCGCTGTCTTCATTTCTACATCAGACTTTGTTTTTCTCTGCTTTGGTTGGGGCTTCAGGACTTCAACTGAAGAGGGAAAAAAGACAATTGTTTATTTTCATGATCATGAGTCACTTGTTAAATATGTGTCATCTCACTTGGAAAAGAAAAAGGAAAAACTCGAATAAAATTCGCACCCCGACTTTGGCGACGGCCCAAGACACTTTTGGGATTTTGAAAAGTTTAAAAAGTGTGTACTTTATTCGGGATTTTTTACCGAAATGTATGTGTAGTAACTCACATTCCATTCCTTCCTTCTCTTTCTGCGATCTTCGGAGCTGTTTCAGAATCTTCCTCTTCTTCTTGCCAGACAATGTGATGTTAGCTTTAGGACATGTTCTGTATGAAAAAAAAAGATTGGAAGCCTTGAAACAACTTAAGTTAAAGAGTTCAAGTAATGTCTCTTAATTTTTGTTCTTTCACATCATCTACTTCCCCTCCTCTATCATCTTATTCTTTTTTGTATCCCCTAAAAAATAAGGGAGTGCAAGAAGCCCTGATACCACCATTACACTATGTTTATATTTTACACAACATTATGTCATACCTGGGCCGCGATATCGTTCGATACGGGTGTTCTGGACCGGGCCGTACTTTACAGTATGGCCCAGGCTTCATGGCCTGGACTTCCATGGCTTCCATAGAATGATTCGAACTCATTTCGCCCTGAATGCGTACACCACTTTCAAAAATTTGAATACAGAATTCAGACTTTGGAATTGGTGTTGTAACTGTTGTTGCATTTTTTTTGGTTTAGGGACACCAAATTTTTGCTCATTTTGCATTGAAAGGCGCGTTTTCTTGGGTAGGTATGACATACATAAAAAAAAAAAAAACGACATGGTATAGTCCGCATCACCCTACTTTGGATCGGATCTCCCTCCGGCCTTTGGCCTTCGGGCGATCTGACACGCGGTCGGGCTAATACCTCAGGCAATACGGAATACCCCGTGTAGTATTCTATATTTATCTTTACCTTCTCTTCAGTAGATGTGATGCTGGCATGATCTCCTTGTCCTGTACATCTGCCATCTTTACTCCAAACTGTCTTTTCCGCTGGGCCTTCAGCTGTCTCTTAAACTTCCGCGGGTTCTTCAGTTTTTCCTGTTCGTGGTTTAACGTTCATAAGAATAAATTACACAAGAATGTACAATAATATAAATATTACTACGTTTCTTCTTCTTCTTCTCCAAACAGTGACCTCTGACCTGACTGAACCAGACTCTCTCACCATGGTAACGGGTGTTGGGTTACATAAACTATGTTGCAATTTTATAGCAGGAGGGATTTAGACTCCTGTCACCATATATGTGAATGTGTTTGAGTAAGAATTAACAGAGAAGACCATACGTGAAGGTAAACTTTATGCATTTGCTTTGCAAATGTTACTTTTTTAGTCATTTGAATTTAAAAATGGAAATTTACTGTTAAAAATACATTATACTGCATTACAACAGATTGTATACAATGTTGGAATCACCTCCAAAATTTTAACCGTTAACCGTTTCAATAGTTTGTGCTTATAAACCTGCATTTCTCCGGTTTCTAGATCTTTCGCCCCATGTCACTTTCGCCCCAGCTATTTACTACCAGATCGCCCCATGTTTAAGTGACCAATGTTATGTTTTAATCGGGTGATATACGCATGAATCCTACTTCTAAATATTCCTTACATATTAGCAAAGCCTTGTGACTATATTTTGAATGTTTCTTATTTGTTAACCGCCGAATCCCCGATGAAAAGTCCGGGTACGCGGCGGGCCGACACGCGACCTGACCCGCCGCCGCATTCGGGGGCGCCTGCTTGCTGTAACGCACATTTAGTAGACTTCTAAGAAACTCTGCAACATTTACTAATCTACTTCGTGTTTGTGAACATTTATGGGGTTCTGTTATGTTGGATTTCTTGATAAATCTTGCCATAACTCTAGTGTTTTCACAAACAGCAGCTGCCGGTCTGCGATTCGGTGGCAGGCCCGATCGCGTGTCGGCCCGCCGCGGAGCCGGACTTTTCATCGGCGTCAAATACTTGCCGAACGCAGGAGAAACATTCAAAATATAGTCACAAGGCTTTGGTAACATCTAGAGAATATAAATGTTACCAAAATACGCGAATATCACATGAATAAAACATAGTTCAGGTCACATAAACATGGGGCGATCTGGTAGTAAATAGACGGGGCGAAAGTGACATGGGGCGATTCGACCTGTACCCCATTTCTCCTCTGGTCTCTCAGTCACTGACGAAAGCTAGTGGATACTCGCTGAAACGTCTGACCGTTTCCAAAATCTTCCAGTTGCTTGAATAACTGCTTTTTGGCGTTAACCGTTACTATTTAGTTCGCTGAGATTACGAAAATCACGAAAAGATGGCATATCGCTGCGAAAAAATTAAGCCCCCCTCCCCACCATGTGAACATGTACACACGTGTAGCCCACGTGTTCATAGTGTTTCCTGACATTTTCTGCGTACTCACGATTTTGGGCCGATTTATCTTGCTTCCTGGTGCCATGATGATGTCTGTGGGACAGATAACTGTAGATAATACAGTTCTTAGGACGATTTAAATCCAAGTTTTCTGACCAAATTAGCTTCGTACAAAATATTAGCCTGCACTGTCGTCTGCAACAAAAAATACCGTAAAACGGCTGTCTGACACATTATATTGAGAGTTTCTGACTAATTAAGCCAGAATGTCGATAAAAATTAATAAATCGTCTTTTATATATAAGAAGAGATGAAATAAGATATTGTCTATAATTTTTTTTTACCGAAATTCAGTAGATAGTGAGTGATATTGTGGTTTTACGACATTTGCTGCTCCCATGCGGCCTCAAGACAAACTGCAATCAGCTGTACATTGTATGTTCTGAAGTTTTGATGTTTTTCGAGGTCTAAAGAAAGTACTAGTACTTCACAAAACACTGACAGTTGTCATTGGGCAGGGCAAAATTGATAAAAAAGATTAAGGAAACTAGAAAGGCCAATATTTGCTTTGGAGCAAATATAGCGATGGGTTCAGCACATTTTACCACATGGCAGGGAAAGAATGAGAAACACAAGGGAAAACAATGCTTTACATTGATATAACTATAGTATGAAGTAACATACAACTAAGACTACAACAGTTGGATAGCTATTCCCTACATTATTGGTTAGGATTGCATAATGCAAACTGTTGATTTTCAAGATAAAAAGAAGCGTTCATAGCCCGCATTCCAATGCTGGAGCAGGAAAGCTTAAAATACCTACCAAAACACTTGAATACAGACATACTGTCAGTATGGCATGGCTCTGTGCAGGTGTAAATGAAGTTAAGCCAGTTAAATCCCAACAGCCAATCAGCAAGGAGAATAGAGGAAAGCTGCATGCCTATTGGTTGATGCCTTGCATGCCATTGTGATGACTCATGTCCAAATGTGGTAAACACTGCACACTTACACAGTAATACATTAGCTATTACACAGCCAAAAAACTCAAATAAAACCATTCTAAAAGCCTGTATCACAATAATTTAAAAAACGCCTAGGGGTATTTGCCCACTGTACCTCCATACCAAATTTCAGGACCTTAGGCCCTAAAATGAAGAAGCTGAATCCATTTAAAGATATGGCAGGAGGAGAAGGAGAAGAAGAAACATCAGAAAAAGCAATATGGTTTCACCACACCACTTCGTGGTGTGGTGAACCCATAAATATGCATTCATTCAACCCATGATGACGATGATTACGTTTTGGTTATGTTTCCGTGTAACGGTGTTGACCAAACGAGAAAGACAGAAAGTACCACTAAAATTTTATGTTAATGTTACATTAAATTTTAGTGGCACAATTCTGATAAATGTAGGGGTCCGCATAAGTTAAGTTAACGTTATTAATCCATCTCAAAAGGGTCTCTGGCTTAGTTATAGTCAACAAGCTACACTCCCGGTGTGTATATAAAAGACAAATAGATTTTATATACACTCCGAAATACTAGCCTCCTTGGTAGGCCCAAAACTTGGGTTTTTGTGAG